GAGTCATATTTGTACTTGGTGTTAATGTTTAGTCTAACTTTATATATTTGATCCATCTTAATATTATTTTATGGAGTTTTTTTTTTTGAAAAAAAACCTCACTGACTCCTAAATTCATTGTGTGCAATGCAGTGTATTGCAAATGAGATGCTGACAAGTGTTTAGTTAGTCACTAATCCATAGAGTAAGGTAAGAATCCAGCCATGTTTTTGAGCTGTACTAGTGTCCCCTATGTAAAATGGTATTACTCAAGACTGGATAAAGTCTCTGGCATATGCAAAATTTCTGGTTCATACTATCATTATTCAGTTTTGTAGCTATCTCTTGGTTTGTAGTGAAAATAAAGCTGCTTGGGAAACGACCAGCTCACATAAACACTTCTTACATGATGGTCTCTCCTGCTACATCTTTCTCATCCTCTCCTCCTCACTCCTTTCCATGGATAAGAACTTGAGTTTATTTGTTGCTTAACTGAGTTGAATTAAATTTTCCACATGCCAAAGTGAAGGGAAAACACAGCTTTTCTGATTTGCTGAGCAAAGTGGGGTTTTTTTGACCTTACTTCTTCATGTGCTAATCTTTTAGGAAGAAGGAATGAATTTGCTGAACAGGGAAACCGTTCGTGAAAGGTGAGCACTAAGGCAAAGCAGAACAGTGAGTGTAGCTGTCTGTGGGCCCAGGACAACACATTTCTTTTCTTCTTTATAGAGAAGTGCAAGTAGCAATGCAGATGAGCCACTCATGGGAGGAGAGCTTGAGCCTGGTAATGCATTCATGCTTTAATTTTTGTTTCTATCATCAGTATCAGAACACTAGAGACTCTCTCATGTCAACATTTCCTTTGATACTTTGACCTACAGTTAAGTTGTTAGTATAGCACTGCTTTTGATCAGCAATTTTTCACACTAACAAGGCATAGAATTATCAATTGTTCAAAGTACATGTGGGTTCCTTGGGCTGCTGTGTCAAAAGGAAATTGTATGGATGTCTGCCTATTCAAATTTTCTTCCGTGTTCTGATACTCTCCATGTAATGTTTAAGGCTTTGGTTTTTTTTTTTTTTTTTTTTTTGTTAAGCATAAGCTTATAAATGGCTGCCTAAAAATTGTTGATATGATGGAGGATAACTTTGGGGTTTCACACCAATCAATCCTTTTCTTGTTAAGGTACCTGCCTGTAAGATTAATTCTGTGTACTGTTTACAGAGTGACAATGATTTTGAAAAATCACTATCACCAAAGCAAGTAGACTTTGTTCCAGTTTCTCCAGCTCCTTCACCTACACGAGGAATAGGGAAGGTGAGAAAAATTTGATAATAACGGTTTTATCTTAAGTAGAGCTAAATAAATTCAACCAAATTAGTAGCAAAAGATTAGGCCACCTGCTCCTTTATACCTTAGCTGCAAACAAGAAACTAGAGAGTAAATAAAACCCCCTAAAACCCCAAAGCAGAAAATACCAGCTGCTCATCTTGTGGGTGTGAATTTCTGTGGAGTGTTCAGCTGTTATGCTGTGGTCATTAAAAAACAAGTAAGTCTGTTTAACCAGAGTACAGTGAAATAAATCTGCACAAAAATGGAATCTGTCCAATTTTAAATTATTTTTTCTTAGTAGCAAAAAGTGATGTCTCAGTATACCCAGTTACTCTTTGCTGAATTTGATACTGAATTTGTTTTCTCTGCAGTTGAGCATCAATTGTTACCACATGGGAGTGATACAGTATTTATAATAACACAAACTCTTTTCCTCTCAGCAATGTTTCTCACCATCTTTGCAAAGTCTGGTGAGCAGCAGTGGGTTGCCTCCAAGTCCCAGCCCAAGTCCAACAAGGAGATTTTCAAGGCAAGTCAGCAGATTACATCAATGATAGAAAATTGTCATAGCTTTTTCATAGTAGGCATTTGAAATACCAGAATTTGTTGTATCCATAATTGATTTCTGAGTACAAACACAACTTCATATATTCATGTAGACTTTAGATTTTACAGTGTTGTAAAACATTTGTCAAAATTCTCATGTCACAATGTTGGGAAATGGGCTGCATTGTGGCATCTGTCTTCCCAGTGTAGTCTCTCTATTGCTCTCATTCACATCTTTATTTCGGAGGGAAAGAAAGCACAAACAGATTTAGGGTTTGTTACTCCTTTGAGTGATGTGGGCATACAATTAAATTTTACTAGGCCCTTACAGTTCAGCCTGTCAACTGAGATGTAGTCAGTGCCTGGATGAGAGCTTTTAGACTGCCCCAGTTGTGAAATAATGTAATTAAACATTTCCTGCTCAGTTCTGTGCTTCCTGGCCTATCTTCAGAGGGAAAAAAAAAAGGGACTTGTTTTGGATAAGCTGTTTTAATGATTATTTTCTTAGTGGTGTCTGTACAGTAGTTTGTTTTCTGAATA